TTTTTTTATATATGTATATATATATATATATATATATATATATAAAATTCATAATTCGGTATTCATAATTAATTCAGGAATATTTTTTTTGTCAACTCCGTTTTGCAGATTTCAGCAAGCAAATCAGACACTGAGATGTTTCGTGATGTATACTGATTTCTATCGCTGTGAGCATATTTTAGGTAAAAGTTCCGAAGCATGTACGTGGTTTAAAGATGCTTTCACGACCATATGTCCAAAGGCCTGGGTGGAACAATGGGATGAACTTAGAACTACAGGCAGATTACCTTGGCAAAAATACAGAACTCAAGGCGAATTCCCCGGCAACAAATATGGCGAATAAAGAGAGAAAAAGAGAAATCAATCATATGGACAAAATTAAAATTTTATATTTAAAACGAAATAATTACGATTAGAAATCATATATATTTAGATATCATATATATTTTGCTAATTAAGAAAAAGATATAATAAAAGATAAAACATTTAAATAAAAGAAAATTAAATAAAAACTATACAGTATAAGAGACAGGAAGGAAATATATGTAATTAATTTACACTTTAGATAAGAAAAAAATATTTAACTTTTATTATACAGGTACAAGATTTATTAATATGAGGTAACTTATCGAAGTACGAAGAAAAAATTACTAATTGTCCGATGATACGTAATTGCTGGATTTCTCTTCTTTTCAATTAACTCTTCTTTTTTTTCAGTATGGTCGATTCTTCTATTTATCTTTACTACACTGGTTGATCTTGCAGTTTAGACACTTTTTTTCTTATAATTGTAAAAAATATACACTGGTCGAAATTTTATTTGAACTTTCAATAAAATACGGATATCTCTCGAGATCCCGTAATAGCACGACGTTTTAAAATAGAGATCTTACATAAAAATGTAAGATTTTTGCGAAACAAAACAATAATTTCGGTATTGTGCACTAGAGCCTGCCATGGATGAAGACAACTTACCGATCTTCGAGTGTTGGCTCTGCATAACATCGCAACCTGCCTATATCGATATATCTATTTCCTATAGGATAATTGATGATACCTGTAAATACGAAATCAAAGACATTTGCTTGAAGGGGATGATTAAAATTATTTTCTGTTCTTTCTTACGTGTACGCGACTATCTTACATTGTATGCAATATATATACATATTGTGAACAATTAGATTTTAGAAATCAAGATATAATCAAGAAACTAATGAGCTTATGATATTTACGAATTGAAATGTTATTAATGTATTGTAAAGTGTGTGATCCACATTGACACATTTGACGAGAAATTAGAACCACCTTACGTCATGTTGTATTCGGTAGTATGTAATTATTATTTCAGGTTTGATTCCTCGATTGATGAATGTATTGGCAATCCTCGTCCCTGCAAATGCCCATCATTTCGTACGGACACAGAATTCCATGGGGGTTGATGTTCCTAGCGAAAAGAGTAACAGAAACCACAAAAATCCTCAAGATTTTGAGAATAAGCCACAGACAATGGATGATCGAATACCATAATTATTTTTCAAAAAAAGGAACACTCACCTTGGTTTCTTTAAATGTGACAATATTGATATATAAGGTGTAATTTGTTTCGTCATCGTTGTTGTATATATCGTTGTATTTGTCGTCGTTATTGTTGATGATGGCGATGGCAGTAGCGACGAGGCTTTTTCATTAGTTTGTTCATTTTGTTCTGAACTTGAGGAAGCAATCACTGATGACTTTAGTTCTAAAGATGCAGCGGGATCAGATTTGTCTGTTCTACTTTCTTTTATGTACTCATTATTTTGTTCTGTAGGATTACTTTGGTATAACCTGGGTTCAGAAGATGACGCATTATCTTGATTAAGAGTTGTAACTTGTTCCTCGTTACAATGATTCGATGCATTTACTGAAGTTTTTTCTCTCCTTTCTGATATTAATTGGCATGGAATCATTTGCGAAAAATCCAATGAGATTTCTGTCGATAAACTCTTATTTTGATTAGATTGCGTCAAGCAAGTATCTCTTCTCGGTCTCGTCTCAATGATCGCAGCTTCGTCATTCATTGGCTGTTCTTGTGATAGATTTTCCTCAATGCATATATCTTTAGATGATTCTGAGATTTCTTGTAACGTACTAGAATAGGAATTTTCAGAAATATCATTAATTTGGACTCGCTTCTTCTTGGTAAACTGACGCGTATGATTAGCAATCTCCTTGAGTTTATCACTTAAAAGTTGATCTACCGCCTCTGGCAATCTAAAAAAACAATCTTCATAATCAAAATACACTAATAGAATGTCAGAATTTCTTTTTTTATTTACATATAAGATAATCTAAATTATTAAATATTTACGCCATATCTGTGGCTTTCATACTTGCGTACTTGTAATTTTTCCCCATGAGTCGGTTACCTAGGGTCGAACAAATTCTGGACAGTTTGAAGCACTCGCGTCGTCCAACATTGATCTTTTGACGTGCTGTTGAAACTTTTGGACCCATGCTGTTAACGCGATTGCGCTGCTGTTGTAACCTTTCCTCAGCTATCTTTAACTGTTCTTTAAGTTTTCTCACTTCGTTGGCCAAGGTAGTTTGTACTTCCTTCTCCAGATCCCATTGACGAAGATTCCCTGACATTTCTGCTAAATGATCTAAGATCGTATACCTATATCATATAAATTATCACGTAAACATAATTTAATATGAAAGCTCTATTGTATGTCGTTTTATTATTATAGTTTGTTTCTCCGCAAATTATTTTGTGTAATTACCGTTTTTCAACTAATTTATGCTCAGTTTCTCTCAAATGTCGCTCTTGTTCCGCTTCTGGAAGACTCGTCAGAGAATCCACTTCTGCTTTAACATCCTTTTTAAGTGTGTCCCAAATATCATTCGCAGTACTGTTATCGTCAGTAATCGAGTCAGATTTATGAGAGTCATTGTTGCTATTATTATTGTCTGTAAGTACAGACGTTGAAGCATCACCGTTAATTTCTTGCTGACATTCTGCTTTATATTGAGAAAGTGACATTGTGGTTTCCATCGTCTCTTCGTGTTCACTCGAAACCGAAAATAAATTTGGAAGTTTTACAGTAGATGCAGTAGAAAAAGTACTATTGTTACTATCTACATCATTTAGATTTTTCTCGACTAGATTTTCTGTTTTGACATCAGGCTCGATCAGATTTTCATTTTGACTGACGTTTATTGTCATGTCATGTTGCACAATTGATTTGTCGTTTATAGTGACGACTCGCTCAATTGCATTCGGCTTCAACATTACTTGCATGTGTTTACAATTTATCTCGTCTGTGCTTAACGTTCTCAAAGCAGATCTATGTTGTTGTGTATCTGTCACGGATTGCTTCTCAAGCAAATTCTCGATCGTTCTACCGTTGGCGTGACTTGAAGCAGTAACATTAGTAATTCGAATGCTGAGATTATTCGGTATCGCTTTCTTACAATTTTTAGTTTGCAAAAAACTTTGTGTGGAATTAGTATGTTTAGCAATATTCACTGAAAGTTTTTTCTCAGCAGAGTTACGACATACGTTTAATTCTGATGTGTCTCTCGTCACGTCATCGTTTTTCTTTCCTTCTGTTGACGATTCTTGAGGAGGATTCTTCTCTGGCGTTTTTAAATTATCTTGATTCTGTTTAACATGCGCTTTCTTTTCACACGTTGACAAAGATTTTATTGGTGAGCTTGCTACGTTAGTATTTGATAATTTATTACTGCTATTACTACTACTATTACTTGCTACTTTTCTCTGTAGTTTCAATTTTTCGCGCTCCAAGATTTCTTGTTTCAAACGACGATACTCCTCTTGCTGTGACGCAGGAAGATGCCTCACGGCCTGCAACAAAGTAGGAAAACCTGCAGAACAAATTAAGAAAGTTTCAGCGAGCAATTTTTCTTTAGTATAATAAATCTTCGAATTGCGAATCTAAACAATATTAATCTCTTTCAAGTAAATTAATAGCATTAAAGAATAATTAGAGGAAACATGCAATCGCCTTACCAGTGGCGTGTGCATATTAGATGAACCGTTAGCTGTTTGTAGCACATCTCGCTTTGTTGCTTGCGTGGACGAACTGGATGATTTCGCTGCTGCTGCTGCAGACTGTTCTTGTTCGTTTCTCACCTCACGCAGAAATTTACTCAAGTTCTTTTCAAAATCGGCGGGGATCTCTTGGTGCGCCTGATGCTTCTCCACGATAGAAACAGACTCGTTTTTCTCTCCTTCGGACTCGGTATCCGTATCGGAACCCAAACTTATCACAAATCGCTGAGTGTCAGATGCATGCAACGATATTTTTGAAGCGTTAGCGTTGGACCATGCGTTTTCGCTAGGCTTCGTATTGTTATCAATCTTTCGTAGATTCAGTCTCCTCTTCACAATCATATTCTGATATTTCTTAGCGTTGTTTACCACTTTCGTGCTCGTGATTGCTTTTCTCGTTATTTTTTTCGGAGGACTCTTTACCGTGTCTAGGCTAGTGTTTCTTTTCCTGCCATTTTGCACCGAGAGAGATGCATCATTAATTTTCTTCTTTATTGTTTCCGATAAAGGCTTCGATGGTAATGGCTTCGACGACAATAACTTCGTTGGCGACGACTTCGACGGCGACGATTTCGACGGCGATGGCTTCGACGGCGACGATTTCGACGGCGATGGCTTCGACGGCAATGGCTTCGACAATAATAACGGAGCATTGTTGCTCACAATACACGTTGTGTTAACTGTAGATGGCATGGTATCTGTCAATATTTGATTTAATGCAAATGTCTGGACATTCGTTATAACAGAGTTTGTAATTGGAGTAGCTGGAGCAATTGGAGGACTGTTGATATCTGCTGATTTCGTTCGTTTTAAAGAAGCCAATAAAATGGCTCGTAATTCATCCTCATCCTCGTCAATGCTTTGTCTTCTACTAACGCTTTTAGTATCGGTGATTTTGCTAACTGTGCCAGAATTCAAATTGTCTGGCGCGGGATTTGTTGACAAACAATGGGATTTAATGTGTTCTTCTTGTGAATATTCGATGGATGTTAATAATATTGTGTGATTCTCCACGTCTCTCTTTTCGGTCATAACATCACCGGAGTTGATAGACTCCTGCGTATCAGTGATACTTTGCAATCTCGTCAATTCTCCATTTTCTATTAAAATCTTATGTGTACTAGCATTATCATTGCTCTTGTTCTGATCAGATTCGGTTGCAATGTGGTCTAAAGTAGACGCATTCGTAATTACATCTCTATGTACATCAGCATCCAAACATGGGTTCGTTTCATTCTCAAACCATTTCATCCAACGTGCATTTTTCCTTCTGCGTTTCTCCTTTT